TATATATATAATATGGTGAGAAGTCTATAGTGTTCATCATCCCTCATTACACATACATACATATACATACACATATAGAAAGGAGAGGGGAAAAGGCATAGATTCCCCCTTTAACTTGTACCGAAAAATCAATTACACGCTTAAACTATCATAACGATCTATTACACACTTCTGCTATTTAAAAGTGAATTTATTTACCCCTAAAGCTGACATGACAAAATAATACTCCCTCCGTTTCAAAAAGATTGGTCTGGTTTGACTTGGCACAAAGTTTAAGAAATTAAAGAAGACTTTTGAATCTTGTGGTCCTAAATTAAAGTTATGTCAAATGTACAAAATTGCCCTTAATCTTGTGGTCTTAAACATGCCACGTGGAAAGCAAAAACTAAAATGTTTCCAAAATAGGAAAGAGGTCATTTTTTTGAAACTGACTAAAAAGGAAAGGAGGTCATTCTTTGTGAAACGGAGGGAGTAATAATTTAAAAAAAATCACGCGCGTCAGATAATTATTAAAGTAAAAAAAAAATCAAAATATTTCTTAAACCCCAACCCCACATCTCTTCTTCTTCACGCCCCACCATCCTCATCTTCTTCACACCCCATTAAGCTTAAAATAAACCAATAACAAGAAACAACCAAGAAATAAATTACTTCAAAAATGAGTTAAATTTTGGGAGGTTTCAATCGATGGGTCTTTGGTTGATGTTTTGAATATTGAGTGATCGATTGAAAATGGGAAGAAACTTATTTTTCTATTATCTCTATTTTTTAAGAAATCTCCAGGAAGAACATGGAAAAATAACAAAGAATGTATGTCCAAATCTGAAAAATCTGAAAAATCTTTACAACTACAAGCTACAACAAATAACAATGAATGCTTAGTTTTCATGGCCAATCAATGGAAGAAACTGAAGCAACCTTCTTGTGGGTACATTTTGGAATGGAAGAATTTTTTCACTCCAGATTGCGGACAATTTCCTTGGTGGTCATTGCTAAAAGTTTCTTCTTTACCGTTTTGCAATGAGGAAGATAGAATTATTAGAGAATTTTAATAATTGATTAGGAATTAATTAGTGTAAAATATAATTAATAAAATAAAAGTTAAGTAATAAAGAAAAGAAAGTAAAAAAAATAAATTTTTTGACATGGCATTGATGTGGCAGCGAGTGTAATACACCACATACTATGAGAGTGGTGTTGCACATAGCAGGGTGGTATTAAATTCAATTTTAAGTAGTAAAGATGTGCAATAAGTCATCATGATAGTTGAAACATGTAAGTGACTTTTCGAAACAAGTTTATGGGGAATCCTTTTCCCAAAGGAGAGTTTGAACTCCTTTTTTTATAGGGACTACCTTTAAAGGAGCTATTGATGATGTTGATGTTATATTTTAAGTAGTAAAGATGTGCAATAAGTCATCATGATAGTTGAAACATGTAAGTGACTTTTCGAAACAAGTTTATGGGGAATCCTTTTCCCAAAGGAGAGTTTGAACTCCTTTTTTAACTGGAGTTGGGGGTATTTTTGAGTTTTATTTAAGTGTTGTATAAGCTTAATTGTACAGTCATATGTTTAGATTGTACTATACTTCAAATTTCCAAAAAAATCGGTCCCTTTTAAAAAGTACCAAATTTGTCATCAATATTAACTAGCTGCTATATATAATGGTATTTCAGGTATTGAACTTCTTCTTTTTTGTTTGAAGGTTGTGGCATAGCCACTTTTTATTAAAAACAAATAAGATTCAGCCCAACAGAGGCTTAATCCAAAGAAAATAACACCAAAAATAAAAAATAAAATGCATCAAAGACAAATGGACAAAAACTCATCCATCAGTAGTAAAAAAGGAAACTTCAAGAAGCCTTCCATCACTTCAGCTTCCCCCTTCATTATCGATCGAAACTCCAAGAATGTCGATTCGATCCGATGAATGGAGACACAATCCAAGCACTTCCCCTGATGGATGACCTTCAAGTTCAGAATCCAACAAGCTTGCAGGTAATTTGTGATTTGATTGATTGATCCAATTCATACACTTATTGTCTAATTTTGAATTGCTATTCCACATAAATCTCATTTAAACATTGCAGATTAGAACTTTATGAAATAGCAGTAAAGTATTTGAGCCTCTTCTCCATTTCACCATAGTATTACTAACCTTTCAAAGGCTCAATGGGTTGAATTCCAATGGGATTGATACAACCATTAGAGTCTCTATTTAGTTAATACTACCACTATGAATAAGAAAATTTATATGCAACATCCCTTTATTGATTTTTGCAGATTCACAAGAAGCTAATACTTTGATTTGGCTCTCACCAGGTGTAAGTACACAAATCTATTGAATTTACTTCAAGGATTAACTTAACTATACTCTGCATAACCAGAAAAGGTCTTGAATTTTGAGGCTACTGTTATTTGTATTCTTGTATCTGTCTCCTTATGTATGGTGTGCCTTGCTTATCCAGATTGAGTAGCTTTCTTCCCTCGCTAGGTATATCCCGGAAATGATTAATTTGAAAATCACCTGCAAAAGGGAAAACTAGATTAGTAAAAAAACAGCAAGAGTATTTCCTTCCCGAAAGGAATGCTTTACTCTTGCTGAAACCACCCCTCTCAACCTTCTGATGTCATTAACTTCGAGTGCTACACTCCATGGTACATCCCATTCACCCTCTAAGATATGAACCATTGTTAAAGAGTCTGTCTCAAGAATAACATGTCCAATACCATGTTCACTACAATAAATTAGACTCTCCCTTATAGCTATAGCTTCTGCTACCATATTTGTCGTGTCTGGGAGTTTGAAACCTTTAGCAACTATCAAATTACCATCATGATCCCTAATACAGAATGCCGCCGAACTAGGTCCAGGATTACCTTTAGATGCTCCATTCGTGTTGTATATTTGCTTTAACTTTAATTTTTGCTGGACATATTTGTACCTCTTGCGTAAAAAATAAATTAACTTGATTTAATTCTAAAATAAGCCTTTTTATCCAAGTATATGTCAATTTTCCCCCAACCAAACTTTTGCTATTCCCAAAGAGAGATGCCATTGTAATTCTTTTCTTCTCTCATATGAATTCTTCCTTCTAAATTTATCGTCTCTCCTGCAATTACTCAATTTTTCAGTACAAATAGATATAAAATTGAATTCGTATTGAAGCAGGCCCTCATAAAGTTCTCATCTTTGTGACTTGAGGTACTATTTTTAGTTTTTTTTTTTTTTTTGGCATTTTAGCATATGGGCCTTTTGTTGGATTTAGATTTTCTTGAAAAGAGATGCTGACTTTTATACAAGTTTTGTATTCTTTCAATTTTACCAATCAGAAACGGCAGAAAATACACCTGAAATGACAATTTTTTGAAGGAGAGTGAGGCTCATTCTGCATTTTTAATTTATTTCTCGAATTAACATGAATGTTTTCTTCTCTGGTAAGATCATTTTTCTGCCACGAGCGATTTTGAGATTTTAGAAACTGGGTTTAAAGGGGATTTCAAGATTCAGTAGGACTTTCGTAAACTTTAGTCGCACTACTTTAATTGATGTTTTCTGGGTGTAATTCGAAGTAACAAGAGAACGAACCCAAATTACCTTTCCCTGACTCTACTTGTGGAATTTCACTGGATTTATTGTTATTGTTGGCTTTTGTTTGTGAATGAACTACGGGATGGGGCCAAAGCCAGTGTTTGATATCTTACATCACATGTTTATTGTTATTTCAGTTTGATGTTAAGTGGTATATGTCAATGATCCTGGTCAGCTAATTAATTTTTTGTCATGTGCATGCAGAGTGAAAAAGAGAGAATAAAGCTAGACACCGAAACAAAGGTGAATTGGATGACCACTTCTTTATAAACTACTCATGTTCTTTAGTTCTTTTCTCCCAACCTTACATTCTTTTCATCTTATTGATGCATGATTCCATCAGGCAAATTATGTCATTTAATCTCTCTTTCTTGGGTGTGCAATTGATGTATCTTATTTAATTTGTTGGTAATCGACATACCAAACTTCAATTTATACTTTGGAGTTAATCTAGCATTGATCAAATTATGTTTTTTGTTCCTGCTTATATGAACTGAAACAATTAACCTGCAATGTTGGGTCGTGCTCAGCACAGGCGTTCTTATATATACTACTCTCTCCATCCTATTTTATGTGAGGTAGATTGACTCGGCATAGAGTTTAAGAAAGTAAGGAAAACTTTTAAAACTTGTGGTCCAAAATGAATGATAACAATTTGTGTGGTTATAAATCATTTCATTAAAGGTAAAATAGATGTTTTATAGTTAAATTGTTACTTAATATAGAAATGTTTATTTTTTTGAAACTGACTAAAAAATAAATAAATCATATAAATTGAGACGGAGGAAGTAGTACTTTTACAATGAGATAGTTTGGTGAGGTCAAAAGTCCACTTCGACGTCATTTAATTGCCCTTAGCATTTCAAATGGATTGTTATTTTATGTTTGTTTTTAAAAATAAATTGTCTTAGAAATCTAACTTATGTTCAGTAGGGGTAAATTACTTAAAGAAAATGGAATATAACTTATGAAATTTTATGGTGCAGAAATATGAATTTATTCATCTTTAAATAAATATTTATCTCTAAGAATAAAAATTAAAGAAAATAGGGCAAAGTGCAAATAACCCCCTACAACCACAATCCAAATCAAAAATACAAATTTCGATTTTGCTTAAACTATGCCGAAGTTGCGATAGAAAAAAAAGTATTCATCACTTATCCCTTTAGCCGACCTAGGGTTTTCTCTTGTGGCTCCTACATAGGCAGCAGCTGCGAAGCTATACAGCCACTGGACGACCTCCTTTCGAGGCTGTCCAGCCCGCCCCACCACCCAAAACCATCACATACGCCATCCTTTTCAATTCCAATACTATAAATCCTAAACAATCTGTCCTAATTAAACTCAAAAACAATCGTAAAATCAATTGAAATAATTCATGGAGAACCTACTATCACATTTTCAATGGAGGAAAGGCAAAACTTTATGATCGAAGAGGGATTACATCAAGCAGTGGTGTTTAAATTATCCCATGGTGCGCCAAATTTGAAGGTATTAAGGTCAACTTTACTGGAACATCTTGGTACCAAGGGCAATTGTTTAATTGGCTTACTTGCTCCAAGACAAATTTTGTTGATGTTTAATCAATATGAAGATTATGTACTAGCTTTTTCTCGCTTCAGTTAATTATCTTCTCTACAATGGAGAGGAGGACCAATGTAGTCATTAGACAACTAAAATATTATTGTTAATACATTCTAATAAACAAAGTGTGAAAGTAATGCAAACCATCAATTAATTAGAAGAAAAATAGTCGAGAAAAACCTAAAAGCTGAACGGAAAACCTAAAACTTTGCCATCGAAAAGTCATGGCCATGATGGCCGTTAGACAGCCTCCACCTATGGAGGTTGGACCAACCATCAGTACAAAAGTAATAGACAAACCAACATATGCCAGCACCATCAAACCAACACACCTTTCTTGCAAACCAGTACCTCTAAAACAAATTTCCTACTTGCATGGGGAGCCTCGTATTGTCTGGGAAGAAGATGAAGTAAATCAAATGATAATCAATGAAGATCTCCAGTATGCAGTTATAGGAAAATTCTCCTATGGATGGCCGGAGATATAGGAACTAAGGAGATTGATTCCGAAACAGTGTGACCTGAAAGGAGAGGTTAATATTGGGTTGTCAAGCAACATATATATCCTAATTAGAGCCACACTGTTAGAAGATTACCTAAATCTATTATCCAAGCCTCAATTCTAAATCATGCACAAACATTGTTCCTATCCAATGTGAACCTTGAAGTGGGTTCCTCTCTTTGATCCAGTGGAAGAGACGTCTATAGCGATTGCATGGATATCATTTCCATCATTACCACCAAATTTCTTTGGGAAGGAGGTTGTTTTTTCACTTGCAGCAGCAGTGGGAAAGCCTCTACAGGTGGACTTAGCAACACAAAATAAGACTAGGCCTAGTTGTGCGAGAGTGAAGGTGGAGGTAGATCTTTTGGGGAATTTTTCTAAAAGAATCAAATCGGAATGAAGACCAAAACTGGAGAGATAAGAGAGAAGTGGATCTATTAGGTATGATTATGTACCCAAATATTGTAAATCCTGCAAGTTACAAGGGCACAAAGAGCAGGAATGTTTTGTACTTCATCCAGAACTATACCAACAAACTAGAATTAGTGAGGTCAATACTACAAACAAGTTTGGAGCATTAGTAGGTGAGAACAAGGAAGAACCACATAAAGAAAGGGACTTTGGTAGAAAAGAAGAAGAGAAGGGGAACCAGGTAGAGGAACAGGTATATGGAACAACACAATATGAGGAAATGAGCAATAAAAAAGAGGTGAACAATACACAAAACACTTCTATTGAGAAAGATGATGCTCAAAGTGCAATCAAAGATATGCTCAATTTATCAGATGAATCAGAGCAGTCGGTGAAAAGGATGAATGACAAAGAAAAAAAGGCAGCTAGGGACAATGAGAAGGAAATGGAAAAAGAAGCTGACACAAGAGAGCATCCAGATGTTGGCGATAGTCAGATAGGAGAGACATGCATTTCACAAACCCATCATGTAACAATAACACCTCCAAAGATAGATAAACTCTCTGAGCAGGAAAGAAAAGAAATACAGGAAAGAGAGGAAGATGAGAACATGGAAAGAAACATTGATAACATAGGTAGATAAGGTGATATTTCACCAAGGCAGATCAATCATTTAAAAGGGAAAAGTAAAAAAAGGGGAAAAATAGCTCATACCCATTCACAGATAAATACAAGGAGTAAAAAGGGGTCTATCTCAACCAATATTTAATGATTAGCAAAGCTTTATTCTGGAACATTAGGTCTGTTAGGACTCAAAAGGCTTTTGACAGACTTATTGATTAGCATAACAAACATCATTACTCATATATTGCTCTTTTAGAACCATTTCAAAGTCCTTCAGAGTTAGAAACATACAGAAGAAAATTGGGCATGCCAAATGCAAAGGTGAATTGTGCGACCAAAATATGGATCTTTTGGGTGGAAGATTGGGAAGAACAGAATGGCATAGACTCTATGCAACAAATCACAATCAGATTCAAAAGAAGAGGCTCAAATGATTATTTCAGAATCACAGCAGTTTATGCTAGATGTTTTGCATTGGAGAGATTGGAATTATGGGAGGAATTGAAAGAGATAGCAGGAAACTCTACCATACCATGGCTGGTTGGAGGAGATTTTAACACTATTATGGATGAAGCTGAGAAATTGGGTGGCCTACCTGTCACACATATGTAAATAGCAAATTTTGTTCAATGTGCAAATGCATGTGCATTAAATGAAATCAAGTTTAAGGGTAGTTCATACACATGATGGAATGACAGAATTGAAGGAGAGAGAATATTTTCAAAAGACTTGATATAGTATTTGGCAATAATGAATTGATGAGCTTAATACCTAACAGTGAGGTACATCATCTGATTAGGCAAGGGTCTAATCATGCCCCCTTACATGTGATTGGTAACTCTTTACAAGAGCCAGTAATAAAACCTTTTAGGTTTTTAAACTTCTGGACCAAACATAGTGAATTTAAGAAGGTTGTGAAAGATAACTGGAATGGGGAAGAGATTAATGGGAATCCGTTCACAGTGATTCATTGTAAGATGAAGAGAATCAAGTCTGCCTTAACACAATGGAGTAGAAGTACCTTTGGAATAATTTTTCGGAGAATTGCCACTTTAGAAGACACCATTAAAGCTATGGAAATATAGATGGAGATTACACCAACAACAACCAACAGAGCTTCACTTCATAAGGCAGAAGTTGAGTTAAAAAAATATAGACATATAGAGGAGGAGTTTTGGAGGCGAAAGGCAGGTATGAAGTGGTTTAAAGAAGGAGATAGAAATACCAAGTTCTTTCATGCTTTTGTAAAAGGGAAGAGGAGAAAGTTACAAGTTATGGACATTCTTACTAACCAGAGGGACAAAATCTCTACTACCCAAAATATAGAGGAAGAAGCTGTAAATGTCTTTAGGGAGTAGTTCAGGGAGAATCAAGAGACCACCAACTATGATATGCTGAAATACATCCCTACTTTAATAAATGAGGAACAAAATGCTGATATGGGAAGAATGCCTACAGAATATGAGGTTAGAATGGTGGTTTTTAATCTAAGTGAAGAGAGTGCTAGTGGGTCAGATGGTTTTTCAGGTACATTACACATACCAATTTGGTGCTCATACCAAAGAAAGAGGTGGTAGAATCTTATGGGGACCTTAGGCCAATAAGTCTAAGCAATTTTCTCAACAAAATAATTTCAAGAATCATCCATGAAAGAATAGTGACAGTGCTCCCATAAATTATTTCAGCAAATCAATCATGTTTTGTCAAAGGAAGAAGCATAACAGAGAATGTGTTGCTGGCCCAAGAGATAGTAAGAGACATAAACAGGAGAAATAAACTACACAATATGGTGGTGAAGTTAGATATGGCAAAGGCATATGATAGGGTGTCTTGGAAATTTTTAGTGAGAGCGCTGAGAAAATTTGGATTCTCTGAAAGAATTATAGATATGGTAGCAAGACTGATTAGTAATAATTGGTATTCAGTCTTAATGAATGGACAATCTTTTGGTTTCTTTTAGTCTTCCAGAGGGCTGAAATAGGGAGACCCATTATCCCCTACTCTATTCATAATTACAGCTGAGGTACTAACAAGAGGACTCAACACTCTATATGAAGATTCAAATTTCAAGGAATTTGGGATGCCTAAATGGAGCCCTGAAATCAATCATTTATCATATGCAGATGACACTATACTCTTCTGTTCAGGACAATCATCCTCAATTAGAAAGATGATGCAGATTCTAAGGAATTATGAGATGGTCTCAGGACAGATGAATCATCTGAACAAAAGCCTGGTATACCTACATGAGAAAGTTCCTATAGGGGTATGTAATAGGATAAGAAAACTCACTGGAATCAGACAAGGATCTTTCCCTTTCATCTATTTGGGATGCCCTATTTTTTATGGGAGGAAAAATAAAT